GAAGGCAGAAAATGTGTATTGCAAGATTACTACAAGTGGCTTAGAAATTTGAGGAGTTTGCAAAGGCACCAACAATGCTATGCTGCTCAAGATGTTATGTTGCCACCAACTACATGTACAAGAAGAGTTAGAAAGTGTCAACTACGTGATTACTATGGATGGTTGGCTCATGTCGACATTCAACCAGTGCGGCAGTGTTTGCTGGAAAAATTCTACAAACAGCGAACTGTGAGAAAGGGCAGGAAATGTGTAATGCAAGATTACTACAAATGGCTTAGAAACTTGAGAAGTTTGCAAAGGCACCAACAATGCTATGCTGCACCAGATGTTCAGTTGCCACCAACTACAAGCAGAGTTAGAAAGTGCCAACTACGTGATCACTATGGATGGTTGTCTCACATCAAAATACAACGAATTCAGCAGTGCTTGCTCAAAAAACTCAAAGTCAGAAAGGGCAAAGTCAGAAAGTGTGTCTTGCAGGATCACTACAAGTGGCTCAGAAACTTGAGGAGTTTTCAGCAGTGTCACTCTGAAAAAGAATACCAGACACCAACTGGAAGTGGAATAAGAAAGTGCCAACTACATGATTATCATCAATGGCTGCCAAACACGAGCAGATGGTCAGTTCAACAGTGCCTACTCAAAATGTCTGCCATACAGCCAGCAAGGAGGAAAGGCAGCAAGTGTCTGCTACATGATTACCACACATGGCTCAGGAGTCTTAGAACATCTCGGCAGTGTTGTGCTGTGAGAGAGTACTCAGACCATTCATCAGTTATCATCAAAGGTAGTGAGTGCAAACTCCCAGATTACTATCCGTGGCTGTTGAATATGAACAAACCAGAAATGCTTCAGTGCCTGCCAGAGAGGATCTCAGCAAACTTCACCATGAAAAAAGACAAGAAATGTCAAATGGAAGATTACCATAGTTGGCTGTTGGGCAACATAAAGTCACTAAAACCAGCAACCTGTGTGGCTAGGCAAGCTCATCGAATCAGAAATGCAACGGAAGTTGAGAACGTCTTAAGAAGGCCAAAGCGGTGCAGACATCATCAGCACTTCTCCTTCATAACTCAGTGGAAACAAGCATCTGAAATGCCTACATGTGAAGTACACATCAGTTATGCAGATTTCCATACCGGTACCAAAAAGCATCTGCAGACTTCAGCTGCTAAGTGCAGGGCAACGGCATACCAGTTTTGGAAAGCAGAATACCCTTCCTGTAAGAGTAAAAGCTCCTCCAAAACTCAACAGACCAAGAAGCTGAAAAGGAAATGCAGATTACGTCACACTTTTCTATTTCTGATTTCAAGAGATGCTTCATCCACAGCATGGATTGAGGGCAATGCTTCCAAAGTCGTTAAAGACAAAGTCTCACTGCGGTCTAAATGCCCAGCTGATGTCAATCCATTTCTGCTGAGTCAACGACCAACTTGTGTTGTTAGGACTGCGGGAAAATCAGGACTGAATTTCTCTCCAGTAAGCAAGGATACAATCAAAGCCTCAACATGCAGACTTGACAGACGGTATCCGTTCCTAAAATTGGTCATAGGAAACTTGAAAAGGAATCACCAGTGCATGGATAACTCAAAAGCTGAGATGAGCCCATCCAGAAGAAATAAATTCTGCAAATCAAGAAAATATCCTTTCCTGGTCACACACCGCTCTTGTAAGGCAGAGCAATTGACTGAAAAGGCTGAGACATCACTTACATCCAGATCTTCAAGAAGAGCACTGAAATGTAAGGTCTCTAAGAGGTATCCATTCTTGTACAAACGGAGGACTGGGATATGTAAGTTTGCCATCAAAGACACAGTGCTTGAGACGGTAACCTCTACAAAAATCTCCAAGTGCATGCTGGATAGGGGATATCCCTTCTTGAATCTAAAGACTTGCTTGAGTAGAGTGAAAGGAAATCTCCCATCAACAAGTTCTGGAACAAAGGATTCCTTAGTCACTAGAAAATCTGGTGGAAACAGAATGCAGGGAAAGACTTCCAAATGTAGACTGAGTAGCAGATACTCTTTCATGAAAGTCCAGAAGAGCATCTTTAGAGCAGGGGCGGTTTATACAACATCTCGCAGTGACAACCAGTTTTTGTTGGATGAAACGCATCCATTCAGAAAGATCTCAGTAAAAAACTCAAAGTGTGAACTGCGTGAAAGATACCCCTTCCTGGGGTCAAAGATTCAAAGATGTTATATCAAGACATTTCAGAATCTGTCCACTGAATCCAGTGTGAGACGGCACATTCCTTCAAAATGTTGGCTTCAGCAGGTCTATCCATTCTTGAAGTATTTGCATGCTGTAATGAAGCCCTTGTTACCAACCAGTGTTCTGTCTTCAAAATCCAAGACTGACAGCCCAAAAGGTGGACAGAAGGAAAAATGCTATCATACTGAAAGGTTCCTGTTCCTTGTGAATGCTTCCAAGACGTGCAAAAGTCGACCAAAACGTAGCACTACTGAAGTGTCAACAAAAGTGTTTTTCATTGATGATGGAAGAAAGGGTAGGCTCCAAAGGCTGTATCCATTTTTGCTGGTTGCAGAGAAGTTATCAAAACTAAAATTATGTCCGGCCAAGTTCAAGGAAATATCTTTTTCTACAAAGTCAACTTCAAACAAGACCTGCGAATCAGAACACGTGAAGGGCAGATTTTCAATGCTCCCATTCATCCAAATGGTGAAACAGAATGCAATGAAGCGTATGGACAGGACATGTAAAGCTAAACTTCAAACGTCAGAAATTGTGAATGATACTTTTAGAAGCACTTCTTATCCGCGCGAGATCAGTGCAGAATATGGACATCCAACTTCCAGGCTGCTGAGAAATTCATCAAGAAATCCATCACCCTTTCTTCAGTTCCTGCCCAAGAAGTTGCCACTCTGCAATGCATCATCAAACCAACCTGAAGAGCAAATGAATCCACAGATTCTTGAGGACCCAATTTCTGCTCCTACCATGATTCCGGGAAGTTTTCATGTTAGTAAGAAGGTAACTAGACACCCTGTTGCCATGATGCTTGATGGCAGCGCCTTCAGAAATCAGATCTACATCGATCGCAAACTGGAGCAAAGACTTCATCACAACCAAACACGAAATGGTACCAGGCCCCCCATGACTTCCGGATCTCAAAAGAGTCAACAAAAATGTGAAGCTGCCTACTGTCCAGAGGCTTACAGAAGTGACCCTGGACATGGAAAGATGTGTAAAGCTAGAATCAACCATCAGAGACCAAGAACGTTCGGCTCAGCTGCCAGGGCAAAGATTCAGGAGACCTCAACAGCCACTGTTACCTCAAAACCAATCCCGACTTCCCCAAGTGTATCCTCCACGTCACGCATTTGCCTGAATCCAAAACCCACCCCTTTCTTGGACTACTCTCTCCCACTTCCGAATGACCTTTGCCCTCAAGTTGACCCTCCCGTTGACCTGGGTCTCTCCCACAAACCCCTGGGTGAGGTATTTACCCCAATATCACAGGGTCTGGCAAGCGATGTCAGAGCATCTGGAACAGAACAAAATCAAGGTTGTTTGATGTGTTGATGTTGTATGCAATCCTATAGTTGCTTAGTTGGCATGTGAGATGTAGAATAAGGAATGGTGGCGGTAGCTGAAATAGTGGAAATGTCTTCAATGTTTTTAAAGGTTTTTCAATATTATTTTTCAAAACAATGTATTTAGGTATCATCTATTATCATTTTATTAAGGTTAAAGACAACTTATCATTACTACTCTCTTCGATATTTCTGCCCTTCTGTCTCGGTATAGCCACTTCGCTTTTGTAGAATTTTACTTTGAATGCTGAACAGATGTACATAAGAATGTCAGAAGAGCTGTCTAAGGTTAATTAACGATGTACATGATGATTCAAGACTTGGTGATATTTTTTCTGTCCTTTTTTCCCCTGAAAACTATTCATATAATGCTCCCTTGTGCTTTGTGGAAATGGGATTCCATTTTGGACATCTTGTTGCATTTTGTTGTCTGTGATATCTTAAAACTTGAATGTTACTTTACTGGCAGGTTTTTCTACATAAAGCAATGTACTGTGTAACAGTGGCTAATATTCTAACAACTATGCATCTCTAAATTTGCATGAACTTACCTTAGTGCATGAATTTGCATTTCTGTATTAATCTGCATGCTGCCTTGAACTAATTTTTTTTTTTCTCCCGGAGGGGAGGTTTCTTCATTAGGAAACTTTAGCTACTCTATATGTAGCTGCATTTGGTACGTCAGTTATTAAACACAAAACAGAGAATCTGAAATAAAAATGAAATAAAATGAACCAACACTTAGCCATTGACACAGTATAGTTCAACATGACAAATTACCACATGAGACGTGTATCTTGCCCTGTTATTAAAATTACTGCTAAAGCAGTTATCAGATGAAATCCCTTAGGTTGGGTTCATAATTCACACAAAAGCAAAAGAGTCCTGAGCGAATTTCTTGACGTCAACAATTTAAGTTTCATTGTCATGTTCGTCGTTTCCCTGACAAATTCACTTCATTATGGAATTGGCATGAAGTATGAACTGGCCTTTAAGCTGTGTACAGGTCTACCTCAGGATCTTGCTGGGCAGGAACTAGTTTTGGTGCAGCCAATTTTTGTTCTGTGCATAAGAAGTTTGTGTACTTGACAATTCCTTGAATATGCATCGGCTCATCTGAGAATCACAAATATTCCATTGGTACTCTATTTTATATTGTCACTTACAGTCTTAAGCCTTGCATGACATTTATTTGCATGATTTTGATCTAATTAACAAGTTAATTTAACAAATGAGTCAATATTTATTTTGTCAAAGTTGACTCCAGATATACAAATAATTCCCAATATTTGAAAATATCACAAGGTCCGTTGTTGATCCCACTGAATTTTAGGTACAAAAGTATCACAAAAAGAAAGATGATTGTTTTTTATTCAACATGTAATTTCACCTGTGGAGTTTTAAGTATGATATTGAACTTTCTCTCTTTCAATTCTTTAACAGGTCAAACAGAGCAACAACAGCCACCAAGCAGTGAACACACCAAGTCAGGTAGGAATGACAAACATGTTGTAGGGTGCTGTGGTCCAATGGTTACGGTGTTCGACTTGTGTGCATTGGTACATGGGTTCGAATCCTGACTGTGGGAACATGGTGCTTGTGCTCTAGAGCAAGGCATTTTACCATTATTGCTTCGTCCTTCGGATGGGACGTGAAGCCGTAGGTCCCGTGTGTTGTGTAATGCACGTTAAAGAACCCAGTAACACTTATCGCTAAGAGAAGGGGTTTGCCCCGGTGTTTCTGGCAGTGGCTGCAATGTGCGCCGCAGCACCTTGTATACCATTATAAGGTGCTACATAATGGGTCTCATATTTCTCATAAACTTTATTTACCTTTCTTTAATAATAGACATAATTTCCAGCGCCTTGAGTACCTAATTGTTGGTAGATACGTGCGCTATATAAGACTCCGATATTATATTATTAAATTTGTTAATAATTCAGATGTGCAAATATTGAAAGTCAATCTTGAAAATAGACATTTTTGATTCCTGAAGATAGGCTTTTTCTTCATTTTGTCACTGACATTTTAAAGCAAAGTCTTTTACAGAGAGGCCATGAACACATGCAGACAGGGGAAAAAAACAAAGAAATGTTATGACCAATAAACAAATATCAAAAATAACAAAATAACAGACTTTTAAAGAAAGTGGTGTAATACTGTCATCATTGTTGATACAGTAAAACCAGTTATTAAACTGTAACTTGCAGATGGTGATCTCCATGAAATCGACAAAAACCCTGAAACAACACATGAAGAATCAGAACAGCAATCCAGCAAGGAGCGTAAAAATGAACAGGATGCAAATCAAGATATCCAAGTCATCGATGGAACTACTCTCCACGCCTCAGATCTAGAGCCTACCCCATCTTCCCAAGAAACGGCTCCAACCATCATGCCCACCCCCACCCCTCCACCTACACAGTTACAAGACAGGGAACCAGACCCCACGAGCAGTACGCCTGGCGCCAGCCTCAACCCAACACGGTCCACCGGCCAAGCAGACCCGAACAGAAACCAGGAGCAGGCTGGGGAGAATTGGCGATTGGTTCAGCCTGGCCAGGGCAATATCTTGCAACACAGTGACATAGCAGATCAACATCAAAAATTCCTCCAAGAGGCTGAAAATTATATGAAGTCAAGGAAGAATACCAAGGATGCACCTTCAATGACCGATGTTGTCAAAGGTATTATGAGGAAGGGAGTGATGAGCAACGAAAAAGAGAAACAAAAAGCAACTGGAGATAACAACACGGCTGATAAAGAAGACGAAGACGAAGACGCTGAAAAAACAAATGAACCTGTTGATCAAGCAAAAGCCGAGAATCCAGCAGCAAAAGGAGATATAGTCCTCCCTTCAGCTCCTGACTTGAACCCCGAAAAAGTCAAGGAGTTCTTTGAAAGGATGATAGAGCTTCCTCATTTCAAGAATGACCATGACGCAGCCCTGGCAGAGCTCAATAAGTACCTGGAATCTCAAGATAGGAGGATAGGTCTGATGAAGGATGACTACCAGTTCAAATTGCGGGAGCAGCTAGAAGCTGAGAAACAAGAGCAGTCGGACGACGAAACACAAGAAGGAAACCAAGAAAGTGGTGATACAATATCAGATGCCGACACTCTTGAGCAAGATCACTTTGAGTCTGGAAGAGAAATGCTGAAGGAAGAAGCGTCATCAGATGACGTCTTGCAAGATGGAGAGAGTGATCAGAAAGAAATACCAAACAAGGATGACGCAGATCCAGTAAAGGTGCTTCAAGCTGAGGAAGGGCCTGTAGGTGCTGGTTCAGAAGACGATTTCAAGGAAGAACCAGAAATAAGAGTAGAATCACCAGGACAAGTAGTCAGTGATCCAGCAGAGTTCTTGCAACAAGATGGAGAACCAGTAGAAGGCTTGGATGGTCATTTAGAGGAGCCGGAGTTAAAAGTAGAAACGCCCGTCGAAGATGCAAATGATCCAGCGAAGCTGCTACGACAAGACGGAGATCCAACAAGTGACGGAGAAGGTGATAATTTCAAGGAAGAACCCAAAGTAGAGGTCGAACCTCCAGTGACAGAGCATTATGATCCGGCAAACCTATTGCGACAAGATGGAGGTCCAACTGATGAAAGTGTAGATGAATTAGCTATACGTCATATCCGGGAGGAGGAAGAGAGAAAAGTGAAAGAGATACAAGAAAAGGAGGATAATAATCCTCAAGTTGCCAAGCCAGAAGGTGAGGAGAAAGAACCTGAAATTCAGGATGACAGAGAACTGAATTGGGAACCAGTTCTTTCATACCAGGAAATCTTTAAACAGAGAGGTCAAGATGAAGCTTCCAAAGGTGAAGGAACGGACCATGATTCAGAAGAATTACCACGTGAACCAAATCTAAATACCAAGCCAAATCTTGGGGTACTGGATCAGGAACAGGGTGAATTTGAGGTGGCAGAAGAACCAAGAACTGAAATAGATTTTGATGCTGTGCCCGAAGAAGCTGGTCAAGATAAATATCCGGAAAAGAAAGTATTGGATATCAGTCACAAAGGTCCATCAGGGGTAGAGTCAAAAGAAACAAAAGATGAAGCAATTGGACTTGGGAATAGAGAGGATAACCACAAATCTGAGGGAACTAATCCAGAAAGTGAGCAATTTGATGTCAACAACAATGAGTTTCCTCCACAAGAGTCATCCAGAACAGTTCAGTTTGACCCAGATATTAAAGAATTGCTGAATGATTTTGATCTGATGGATAGTACTGGAAGTGATGAGAATGGAATTCAAGACATTGACCATGTGTCACATGAGACGACCACCGAGCCAAGTGTATCCCATGATGCACTAGAGCCACCATCACCCATCGACCCAAACCTAGAACGGATACACAACTTGGAGGATACAGCACCAACTCCTGTAGAACAACCAGCAGCTAGCACACCACCACCTCCTATGGCATCCAATCAAGAGGACTCACAACCCGCCATTAATGTTGATCAACAGGGCCATAAACCATCCAGCGCAGGGATGGTATTTGAAGGTGGTAACTCCAATGTACATCCTGAGATTGAGGTTGCAGTTCCTGGTGATGAGGATGTCAGAGAAGTTCCCAACAGATTCAACAGAAGGGTAAGATATACTTTCTTTGTAATTTTATACTTTGGATAATGAAAGGGGAAAATGATTGGCTTCTTTGTATCCCCCTGGCTTTTAGGCTTTTAAACCAAGAAAGGGGAATGTTGCGATAGAGTATTCCTTCTGTGTGTCTGTGTGTTCCATTTTGGTTAAAGGGAATATACAATGTACCACCTTTGCAAACAGCGAAAAACAAAACTACCAAGTTTTTACGAAATACCTTACTAGGATGTTGATAAATGACAATCTAAAGCATCCTGTAAAATTATGACACCTGGTGTGAAGTCATTTTCAAGAAAATGGTATTTCTGTATACATTTCCAACGGTGGTCGGCCGACCACCGTTGGAAAAACCTAACTTTTTTTCAACTACTGCTCCAAATTTGCAATTGTTTTTCATTCAAAATGTTTGCTATTGGTTACATGTTCATGGACGGGTGCAGGCCAGCTAGACTGGTTCCCTTACCTTACAATTTTCCGGCATCTACCGGTATAAATTGAGCCATTTTATCTTTACTAAGTCAGGGAACCAGACTACTTGAGCATTTTTGTTTTTCTTGGTTTTTCCAGCATTTTCAAACACAAAACTTCAAACATGTCGGTGTAACAATATTTGATCTATTATACTAACCCCTCAAATAGTTCATTTCTGAAAATTGCCGCAATAGCCAATGATGTACATGTACATGTACATGTACATTCCCTTTAAGTTAACTATTTAGTGCTGTCATACACACATACATCTGAAAAGTCAGACTTCAATCTCCACCAAACTTGGTGACAATAATCTTTGGGTAGGGGGACTTCAGATGACTTGAGATGTTTGATGTCAAAGGTCATCTAGGGGTCATATGAGGTCATCATTGTTTTTGGTTCAGGTCAACTGAAATGTGCTGTCATATGAAAAGTCAGACAACCAAACTTGGTGCAATAATCTTTTGATAGGGGGACTCAAGATGGCTTGAGGTCAAAGGTAAATACTGCCAGCATATCTGGGTTATCACGCAAGTTTAACTTGCAGTATTTTTAAAAATTGCTTCCCCCTTTATCACAGATTTCTTCAATTATTTTCTTCCACGTCATTCAAGTGCATAGTTTTTAAACATCGTAGAGCTGCAAAATGTGTTAATCTTCATTCTTATTTTTCAAATATTTAGCTGCTGGAAAAAATCCCAGTCCATTTGCTTTTTTCCCTGTTTGGGATTGACTATCTGTTATCCCCCCCCCCCCCCCATTCTTATTTTGTTTTATTTTTATTTTAAAAGCTCAAGTGTTTCGTTAAATTACACATTGTGCAACACGTTTTTGGGAGGAGGTGTTTTTTTGTTGCTGTTTTTAGTTGGTGATTGGTCTAAATGTTACGGTGTAGGGCCTAATGGAGGATAAGGCCTCATGTAAAGTATATACATGTACATGTAGTCTTGGCCAAAAATTCATGAATCCATTCGATCCTTTCACCTGATGGGATTTTAGAAAGTATCCATCAAACAAACAAAAACTGTAGGCTAAAACATGTGTATGTCTTGTCTTTTTTGGAGCACACGAAATATTGTTGTACATGTACATGTCTCTTTCATGTTAAGACTTTGAAATGAGTGACTACGCCTCATAACTGATAAATATCGGGAGGAAACAACTCTCTGTGTAAAATGAGCATCCATGGAGAATTCCTGGGAGGATCAAAATATTGACTCTCTCTGCTCAAAAATGTGAACACCCAAAGCAAATAGTAGGACTAGGGTCCTTTTGTGGATGGCACAATGTACATTTACATTGTAGATAAAAGAAAAATAAGGCATACACTGTAGGGAAAAAAAATAAGGCTGACAGAAATAATTTGGAGAGAAAGTTGTGCAACCTTGGGGTTAGAATTGGGAATTGTTATGAGGTGTCAGGCTATTTGTCGTAACACCTGTTGCGTAGCCACACCTGTTTTCTGCATACAACCTTGTTGCTCTTTCAGTTCAAATAGATAATTCAAGGTTATAGGAATTAATGCATAATATAAGGTTTGTAAAAATATCAGTGTATGCTCCTGGATGTGTTTTTAACTGAAGAGAAAAATACAGACACCCCTTCAAAGAAATGGATGCACCCTCCATTCATGGAAATTTAATGTAAGTTGGACCATGGACACACTGCATATGACGTATATGTTAATGTTGGCAAACCATATGGGGAAACCTATCTTCCTGTTTTGCCATTATACATGTACAAAGGCATGCATCTGGACAAGTTGACCTGTTTTTATCATCCTCCTATGGTTTGTACATGTACATGTACATGTACCGGGGTATGCAGTGCTGATCAGCAGTTGCAAAGACATGGGCGAGGTATTGCAGGTATTTCTAATGGAGTTTTCGTTGTAATTTGGATTTTCTGTAAATGTTATGAAGAAATGTGAGTTAGAAATTGCAGTGATTATAGTCATGATACAATTTATTTGTGGAACTCCAAGTGTCTAATATTGTTTCTGTTCACCCTTCATTCGTACGTGCAGTGTACAATTGTACATACATGCATATATACCGGTAGCATGTCTTGATTCAATGCCAATGAACAGCAGTTTTCATTAGAATTTTGTTTTGCCAAATGAAATAGTGAAGTATTTTCACTACAAACCAAAAATGTGTGAAGTGTCATTTTCGATGAAATGTCTAAAAATCACACAAAAGATTGTGAGATTTCAGACTTCCAAAGGAATGACATCTGTGCCAATTTCAGACATTTTGCCCCACATACATGGGAGATGTTATGTTAATTTCCCTCCTGAGGGATAATAAAGTTCAATCTTATCTTATCTTATCTTATGTTATATGTCACTGTGGCAGCTTTCAGTTCAATGCACCATTGTGATTGTGGTGCTTTTGTGGTGCTCAGTGGTCTTATGTCAAGCCTTTACTTTCACTGTGATGACTGGCCAGTGTATTGTAAATAACCTCCTATTTATGCTAAAACAGTGTAGTCATGGAGAGCCCTAATGTTATCCTTGAAAAGTCATGGAATGTCATTTGAAGATTTCTGTAGGAACCCTGCATTTTGACTGTGTTTTCATTTTCTAACCTCAGCAGGTGCCGTTGGGACTAGAAGACGATGAGACGCTTTCTGATACCATGAATGCAACGTATGATGATTGGTCTACAGCCGGATTCAACATGATGAAACCACTACTGCTAGCGGTCAACACATCACTCCAACCACTCGTCCAAATGGTATGTTGCAGGAAAGACTGCTGCGACGACCCTCCCCCCCCCCCCCCAAAAAAAAAAGATTCCATGCTTACAAGATCAGGGCAGAATATTTGTGCTAGTGCTATAAGCACAGAATGGTGGTCATAAGTGCAGAAATCCAGCAATGAATTTGGACCTTGATCCCAGTATTTCTTTCTGTTGTTTCTCTCAGTTACCAGATGATGTTCAAGTCGCTCTCCATGGAGCTGATTTCTTGGGCATTCCTTGGCCCATTGTCATCATTGTTGAACTCATCAGCTGTGCTGTCTTCTCATTCCTCCTCTGTGTTTGTGTAAGTATCAAACCCTAAGTTGTGAAAAAAATAAGAAATGTCTTAATTTCATTGCAGTGACAGTGTTTTCGTGTTCAGTTTATCAGATAAACTGATTAAGCATTTGACTTTAGGTATTGCAGTCAAACCTGAAATGAAATTGTGTTTTTGAGTAATTTTTAATTACATGTACATTACCAGTTGTATAGGGCTTTATATTTGCATTGGTAACATATTTTTTCCTTGTTACCGCTGTCAGAGGCTATTGACTGCCACAATGGAGTTCTAAATTCATATTTTTATCAATAAAGTCCCATCAACATTTTTTTAACATGCTCTATGTAACTTTTGGAAATAGGTTAGGAGTTGATAGCTTCAAGTGAAAACAGTGTACAGTCTTATGTAATTACTTAAAGCATGTAGTTATTCATCAAATTTATATTGATATCATTGAATTCACAGATATGCAGCTGCAGAAACCCAAAAGGTGAGTTCAGTTGAAATTAAAAAACAACAAAATAAATAGTGCCATTTGATATAAGCAAAACTGGTGTCAAATGAAACTACATGTATGGTAATTAATTTACCGCTGAAACTTAAAGATCAAGCAGTTTTAAAATCAATGGTTTGGGGTAACCCCAGAAATTTGACACTTGATTCATTTCTGTACAGTCATTGAGAAGAATAAACATACAATAGAATTACTTGAATATTTGATATGAATCTGTAAAGGGCAAAATAGCTAGGGCTAAATAGTTAGCCAAAAGTAAGTACATAATTCAGACAGATTAGCATACAAAATCACCAAATAACATATATTAAGTTTAAATACTTGAACATTTCAAGCTTATATTACAATGTTTCTTGTAATCACTTGGAAAATTTAGCAAAGAATGAAACCCAGACCACCCATGTCATCTTACGTTTTGGATTGACCCAGGGCACAGAGTTTTAAGCTGACTGTTTTGCCCCACTCCTCTTGATTGATGAGTGTTGTCAGTATACGTATATCATAACTGTTATCCTCTTGTCAATGCAGCATTTAATGCGTCCATGCTGGATGAGATAGAAGCTCTCCATGGTCAGAAAGCAGACATCTTAGACACGTTGGATATGACCACGAGTCAGGTATGTAGCTGCACTGTTCTATCTTTTGAAACTATCCAAAAATAAACTCTACAAATCCTTAGATCTCTTTCAGCATATGTCAAATTTCATCCTATCGGCCCCACCTGAAAAGAAAATTCATCTCAGTTGACTTAAATTGTTCAAAGATCTTTGTCCAGAATAGGGATTTTCCTCCACGGTACAAACTGAGATTAAATATTGTTATATGAGTAAATATAATTATACACTAAATATAGCTGTTGCTACTAAGACCTGCTTTTTGTATTTAACATGTACTTTTTATTTCTTGAAAAATTTGTTAGAAATAGAAATGGTATTTCTTAGAGTTGAATGTTCTGATGCCCAGAGATGTTTTCCAGACCACATAACTTCAGTCAAATTTGCAGGGGGGGGGGGGGTACTTAGTATGCCGCTAAGGCTTTTATGACAGAAAGCCCATTTTTGCCTTCCCCAAAATCTGAGCGGGGGCACTAGGTGGCGAAGCCCTGGGAGGCACTGCCCCCTAAATTTGTAATAAATAAAGCAGAACAATGTATAACAAAATTTGTCTTAATTTAGGAGTTGTTCTTGAATCTCAACTGTTTGAGTTGAGTGAATCCAGTATGTTTGTTACATGTATACTATGTAAGTCTTAGAATAGGACTGAAAGTTTCAGTAATTTGGAATTAATTTTTGTTCTTTTTGTCTCATTTTTGCCTATTTCCTGTAGTTCCAATCTCAGAATCGGCAGTTTTACGAGCTGAAACAGAGCATTGACAAGACCTCACAGGAAAAAAATGACATGATGGTAGGTTTGGGTTTTTGACAAGGTGACTTTGCCACCTATCTCCCACTTTATCACCTGTTGCTTGCTTGACAGGTGTCAAGCAAGCAACAGGTGATAAAGTGGTGTCAGGACATCTCATTGATCAAGTTGTGAATAACTCTGACCACACCCATCTTGATATATGGTACAGGTAGTTATTGGGTGCCACTATTGTCTACCTTTCTTCCCTACTATTATTCTCACTTGTATCTATTGAAATCTCCAACTCCATAACGGTACACATGTGAGATGCTCAGATTTCTAATGAACGACTTGTTAGACACCATAACATATCTTGACATGTCCCAGCGAGGTTTGTACACGAAGGAAGGACTTGGCTCAAGTCCTTAGGGTTATGGTTATCGAAGGTAACCTATCGTCCCAAGTCCTCAGCGGGAAAAAAATGCAACATCAATTAGTCATGTTTAAATTTATCAAGACTAAAATTGCCATTGAATTTCAGCAATCCTGCACTGACTTGAAAGACAAGGAGCGAAAACTGCAGAAAGAGTTGAAGACCAAACAATCAATAGTCACCCAACAAGAAAGCAAGCTGAAATCAACTCAAGAACAGGTAAGTAGACATGGCCTGTCTGCCTTAACATGCTAAAGCCTACGATGTTCAACAGTGAACACATTCTACCAAATTCTGTCACTCGGAGCATGAACACAAAACGGTGTTTTTTTTCCTTTTTGTTTTACACTTTTCTGTCATTGAATTCTGTTCAATTTAATGGTAATATACAACATTTTGCTTTTGCTGTCTTATTCAGAAATGGATGGATTTGGGGGTTCGTACTTTATAGCAAATTGTTACACTGACTTTTTTAAAGTTTTATGTTCATAGATGCTTGGAAAATCTAGAAAAAAATGCATAACCGATTGCAAACAAAATGTGGACTAAATAAATTTGGTGAATTGGGGGTAGTAGTTGTAAAAAAAGTCATGTTGTTTCCAACGGTGGTCGGCTGACCATCATTGGAAATTGATACAAAATTCCACTTTTTTGAAAATGCAAGCACACCAGCTGCCATGATTTCACAGGATGCTTGAGACTATTATTCATTTGCAGTCTAGTAAGGTACATGTGTATTTCATAATAATTTGGTAGTTTTTTTTGTTTTTTTATGTTTACAAATGTTGTGTATTACCTTTAACAGGGTGCTTAGAGAAAACCCAAAGAGGGTAAACCAATTCAATTCCCTACCCCTCAAAGAAAAAAAAATCCTTTTTGTATTTTTACCGTGGTGTTTTGTTGTATGGAACAACCGTTTTTGTTCGTAAAAAAAAATTATTTAGTATTTATTTCTCCATATTTGTCAGTCCTTGATTTTCTGGAGAGACAATTTTATGGTCCCCTTAAAATATTTCATTGAGTGCAGCTGTACACTGTACACAAATGCCTCCTTAACAACATTTCTCTTTAAGAAAAATTACTCCAAATAATTAATTAATTTACAATTATCTTCCTTTGTACCTATGCATCATTGACAGGTGGATCTGTACGAGGAACAGGTTAGCACAGCCAATCAGACGATAGCTGCCTTACAACAACAGGTGCTAGATGTAAGTAGTAGTCTCCTTAACAGTCACAAACAGTCAAAATTCACTTCTACTTCCCGTGCTATACTTTTAACAAAGGCTAGTCACCAGCAGTCAGATCATATGTCAAGCAAGCACTGTGGCTAGTCAAACTGGGTCAACAGACAAAGCAGGCAAGTTGTGGTCACAGCTGTTTTATCACTCACCGGGAGTCAAAGTATAGCTGTATCAAGTTACTTAAGCAGTCCCAGCCAGTCATTCATGCTTTGTAGGCTGGAGATTCTCAACTGTTGAAAACAGTCACTTGATTGATTTTGACTGAAAGGGCTACTTGGCACAGAATGTATGTTTGCATAGGAGGGTTATAATGTAGATTGGATCGTTAGCAGGTATCTAAACAGTAACCGACAAAATTATTGTTAGAATACTTACTTGGTCTGTCGATAGTAACGACACTTAACTCCCTGTGAAATTACCGTAATTTCCTGCGGATAAGGCGCGCGGCGGATAAGGCGCAGGTCCCTAAAATCACACACAAAAAATTCAAACGCCAACAGATAAGGCGCACCGCCGCATAAGACGCATGTTTGACCGCACACAGAAGAACACCAGGCGTCACCCGGTGTCGGTACATCGCCACAAAGGGGCCATTGTGTTGCCTTAGAACGATCACACTATTCGGAGGATGAATTAAACCGTAACCACAATGGCTGGTCACATGTAGAGCCATGAAGCACTTTTCCCGAGACGATAAGTCCAGTGCGGACAGTGCGAGTCGGTAAAAGCGGCTCAGGAAAGCGTACATCCGGCCCGAGCGCCCTGTTATGCATACAGAGACCGCGCGAACCTGCACGTGCAGTGGCCGAACATTTTGTAGAAACACGCTGCGGTGTATCATCAAGTCCGAGCGGTAAAATCTCGTTAAAATATATATTTCAACGGACAAATACATACACAGAGAAGAGAGATCACGTTCTGAGAATTAATTTGCGGAAATTCTCTTTCTCCACCGATGTATGTTATTTTCTACGATCCAAATTGCACGGAACATGCACGGAACATCATGGTCTGGTACCGTACGTAGGCCGTAGTCACTGGTTCCTGGCCCACATCATAGCTTCGATTCTGTAAGCATGCGATGGGAACCAACGAATACTGATGGCACTGCTGCCGCACGGAACATCGCACAGCGGCATGGCTTCGACGACGTGCATCACAAATGCGTCAGAATTATCGGCCTTTTCGTCAAGATTTAGCGTGTCAAGATGAAATAATATCGTGTAAACGATTATGTTGTGCATGCAAATGGCGTGTGTAATATTACTGTGCGTATCGGCGGCTGAAAATGTGATCGGCAATTTGTTTTCTGTGTACGGTGAGTCATTATACTGACACTGTGACAGCTCGGTTACTTCTCCCACGCGGCCTGGGTAAATTTTCCCGTGTCGAAAGTCCAAGTGCGGACAGTGGTCACATTTGACCATTTCTCATTTTACCATCGTCTCGGTAAAACCTTCCAAAAAAAGAGTCCAGTGCGGACACGGCTAAAGTCTAAAGCAGACTTCGAAGATATCCTGTACAATAAACACCCTCAACGTTCACACAATAGAACTTGAGTGAATGCGATTTCCAAACGTTTAAGTAATTCTGATTGCAGCATTTTCTGAATGAAAAAACGGCCACAAAGAAAAACGTTTGTATGACGGCATTGTTGGAACGAAAGCACGAACACTAAGGGGGATCAACGCATTGCGGCATTGTTGGAATGAAAGCACGATCATGGGGGATCAACACATCGCGGCATTGTTGGAATGAAAATACGGTCACAATGTCTGGAGAGTTGAGCCTTGGTTGACTGCATTATTGATTGCGGCATTGAAAGAATTCTTCACACAAAGAAAAACTCAAGCGACACCAGATAAGGCGCACCTGTAGATAAGGCGCAGCGATGTTTTTGTGGTCTAAAAAGTCAGATAAGACGCGTCTTATCCGCAGGAAATTACGGTACTCCTTCTGGCATACTGTCATTTTGAAGAAAACAATAAAAGGTAATTTCCAAAGATGTGTTAAGTGACACATTTTTTGAAATTTCTGTTTGTATTGGGCAAATCCGTGATTGGATGCAAGCTTGACATGACGCACGCGCATGCGCGGCTGCTATTATTCCTCTATTCATGGAATACATGGAGACTTTGTTTTAAGCCCCTTCTGTGGCTTTCCTTTCCCTGTACAAGCTGTAATAATTTGGAAACCTTTGAGGTAGCATGTTTCAATTGGTCAAAATCTAGCGGTCAAGATGCGGTTGTCTTGCATAATTAATCAGCGAATCTGCTCAAATGAAATAGACTACCTTTCGTGTACCACATTCCTAAAAAACGAATGCTTCCTTCATTCCAACAGCTTAAGGATAGCTTGCACTTCAGCAGCAATAACATGTCTGCGTTACAACACAAGGTCCAGTCATTGTCTGAACAGAATCAGCTGTTGACATCAGCAAAGGAACAACTGACGGAAGAAGTAACGGGCTGGAATGAGAGGTACATGTACATACATGGAATCTCTAGCGTTATGTGTAGTCTGTCCCCACTACTCTGTATCTTTATTGACCAGTGATGTGTAATAATGTGACAAAGTATGCAGGCTCAGTGTGACACACACACACGCATGCGTGTTTGTTTATGGTGTAAATCAAGGATTTTCTTTTGTTCCTCTTCCCTTTTCCTTTGTTTGTACTTTTTAGCAACAGCTCTCATTGGTTTTGTACATGTTTTCTATTTGGTTCCTGTCCTCGATTCACTGATGATGTTGCACGTGTTAGTCTTCGATTTACACTATAAACAAACGCGCACAAGTGTGTATTTGCCTGCAATCGGGGACCCCCTATTGTCCCTCTTTTGTTTGTACTCAAACTTTTTAGGAAGACCTCCCGTATGTTTTGTACACGAATCCAAATTAGGGACCTCTCTGGAATTGGGGACCCTATTGTCCTCTGTTAGTCAACGTCCCCTATTGAATGCAGATACAAACTCAACCAGGCCTACCTTGCACACCTAGTGTGGTACATTCCTTTTTCTTCGTGTAGTTAAGAAAAAGTGGAGAAAAAATCATTTTACTTTCACTGTGAACACACTTTCAACCCAATGTTGTATCATGAATTCTCTTGAGTGTTCTTCCTCACTTTGCGATGGATAATCCTAACCCCAAAATGCCTCTAACCTGAGAGGGGGAAACCTTGTGTGGACCTGGCTTAGTCCACAGAAGGTTCACACAACCTGCATCGTGTGGACCTGGTTTGTTTTCAGGTCCACACAAAGATGGCAAGGTTGGCACGAGACTAATACCTCCATAAAAATGATTAATAATGAGCTATATGATATCGTATTGTCAGTTTGGGAAATTTAGTCGGTAGATTTGCTACAGAACATTTGAAAGTGGCTTGCAATCTTTCTGCACTGCATGTATGGTGTTTGGCGCGGGGAGGGGGAGGGGGGGATGGGGTTGAATATACAATACCTCCAGTGGACAACATCCTTATTCATAGCAGTCATTGGGAGTTAGGGTATAGACTCCATTCATTGTTATTGTTGGATTTATAGAGTGGGCCACCACAGGGCCCAATTTTATAGTGCCCCCGGTAGGATTCAAACCAGCCAAATAGAACTCAGAAGATGAATGATAGGCATGACATGATTCTGGAATATTGAAAAAGGCCACAAATTTGTAAGATTGATTGTCACTTGTGATTATAACTGCTGTGATTGTTGCTTGTCATTCTCAGGGTTTCGGAGATGAATGAGCAAGTGGAGCTTCTTCACAATGAGAAAAAGGACCTCGAAGAATCAGTGACATTCAAAGACAATGAAATTGAGGTATGAATGACTAAGTAAACTGGAGTATGTGCCAAACCAATATGGCATATCAGGCCAGTTTCTGTGGAATATAACAGTTGAGATTTGTTTTTATAACAATATGGAATTTGCTCATCACTTATTGAAAACAAGTCACAGGATTTTGGTAGTCATGATTTGTTCCTGGATGTCTTCCAAAACCACATGCATTAGTCCAAAAGCGTATTAATTAATTTATGTTCTATAGCTATCCCTAACAGTCCTGAATCCTCCAATTTCAATACGATTTTGCATACCCCCTAGGGAGTGAGAGTTATATGTTGGTGAATGATTGAATTTAACTTAATGCTGATATTCTGATATGAATAGATTTCATTGTTTTGTTTTCATTTCAGGTCTTGAAAGACTGTCTACTACAGCTGAAAGGACTACAGAGCACGGAGGAGGATGACACAGGTCAGACGTCAAATTTCAATGACATTTTGCAAAGAGAATATTCGAAAATGCAGAATTTTTATCTATTAAAAAGAATGTGTTTCTCAGCTATTATAAATGTCGTTTTCTTCTTTTTTTTTCAACAGAAGTTGATAATGAAGCCAGGGTACAGCAACTCATGGATGTAACAAGAGTAAGTTTCACCAAGTATGACTTGGAATGATTTTTGTCCATCATTCAATTTGCATGTCAAGTTCAGGACTTTGTAACGTTATAGTGTAAAGATATGTCGGTAAAGAATTCTTTGCATCTTTGGAAGAATGCTAAACACCTATGTGCTTGGGAATCCTGGTTTTTTTTTCATGACAGTCACCTGCTTATGGGAGACAAACATATTTATGTATAACGGACCTTATTCACGAGGTAGCCATTTTTGTCTTGTTCCCTGAATGCATTTCATAAATTGTTAACTGTTGAATGGGGTGGCACCAGATTATTTATGCAGCCCTATTTTACTTTCATTTTTTTTAATTCAGGCTTGAAACATCAGGGAATATTTCATTATAAATTTAAATAATTCATATAAGCCAACTTGAATTATTTAATAATGTACTTGCTTTCATTTCTCTTCACCAGTTCCAAAAATGAAGATTTTACCTCACTTTCAATTCAACATGGCCGACTGGTGAATAAGGCCAATTGCAGTTATTACTTGTTTTTTGAATACTCATTAATCTTGTGTAAGTTCTACATTTACATTATCTGGTTCTTTCTGTGTAGGTGAGTGCCAAGTTGTCTCTTGTGGAAAGTGAAAAGAATGAAGTCGAGGCCAAGTATGAGGAAGAAGTCAAAGGGAGACGAGAACTGGAAGGTGAGTGGGAGATGTCAAAAGCTGTTTGGATTTAACAAGATTCTGTTTCAGTGCTTCCACGGAGCATCTTTAAACTCCGAAGGCTTAGAACGTTCCACTGGGAATGCATATTTCTTTCTCATATTGAAGAAACATGCTGCTCCCAATGTTTGCATGTGGGACATTCCAACGTTACGAACAGAAGTGTAATGTCCGTGACAGAGCTGTGATATCTAATTAATGATTCAGAGAAATGATCCAAAACTCCTAGTCTGTAATCTCCTTGACCATTACTAGATGATGGATGTATAAGATTTGAAAGCATATTTTCAGGTTTATTCACTGAGCTCCTAAAGGCTCCGTCTTGGATATTACATTACAATGGAATTGCCCATCTGCATGTGCTTCCTTAGTTTGAAATGGCACAATTCTTTTAGGAAAAAACTGCTTGGGAACACTGCATGTTTGCATGAGGAATGTGCTGTGTTGGACACTGTTGGACATTGAAGTGGACAGAGTGACCGGCTGTTCTTTTGTGGTGATGCCAAGTATTATGCTTTGTATGTTTTGTCTTATCTCATGTATTTTGTCTTCATCTCGTGTCCACAGCCAAGATTGGTTCCCTCCAACAAGACGTAGACACAGCCCAGTCTAACTACAAGCAGGCAAAGAGCAGCTTGAGTGAGGCACAGACGAAGCTAGACGTCATGACGGAATACTTCAAGAATAAAGAGGTGGATTTACAGAGGTGAGTCTCTCTGTTGGTCAAGATGTCTGTTTAGATGTAGTTTCGGAATTAGAATGGTGCCTGTTAGTACTTTATTACAAGAGTAAAGGCTTATCTTAAGACATTTTCAATAAATTTCTTTAAAGCTCTTATGAAAGTTTGCTGTTGTGATGTGTATTTTGATGACGTAATTTTACAAGCACTGTAGCCTGGAGAAAAAAAACACAAGTACACAAGTTTACAGTGGTGGGACTCGAATCTACATGTGTGACCTTGTGCTTAGTAGTGCAGGTGCCTTGCTTCCGTTGGCTTTTGAATTGAGGAAGAATCTGCTAGGATTCAGGCCCCATAAATTTGAACAATTTAGATGCTTCAGGTGAAAAGTAGTTTGCAGTTTCTGTTACATGCATTTGACTAGGGAGATATGTTATTCAGTCACAATTTGAATTACTTATTTTAATTTTTGCAGGAAACTTGGCCGTGAAGAGGCTCTGAGGCTACAGAGTGATTCCAAGCTAGAGACTGCCGATGGTAAAGCAGCATCAGCAGAAGTTGAGGTTACCAACTACAGGTGGGTACCAGTCAGTGCTGTATGTACTTGTGCAGCCCAGATGTTGGTTGGCCATTCATGACCAAAATTAAAATGCAAAAATGTATTTTCATGAACTTTATGGTCATGATGCCTTGGACCAAGTTTATATAAACCGTCCTCATTCATAGATCTTTCATAAAATTGATTATTTGTACTAATCATACTAAATTCATGTAATAGTGGCAGTCAATTACCTTAGTTTTGTGATAAGTTTTAAATGTTGTTGGTATATTTCCTTTTACTTGCAGGACTCAGATCAGAGATCTGAAAGAGGAACTGGAAAAAGCTGAGAGGAATTTCAGAAATCAAGTAAGCTGGAAAATGAAAGCATTATTTATGGAAAACTCTACGTTTCTTTATTCTTGGCTACTTCTGACCATGTAGAGATATTTGTTGAAATGAAGTAAAGTAAGGTCTCTTGAGATATGTGAATATGCAAACTTTGTATGAAGTTCATTGTTCACTTGGGGAAAAAAAACCCTAAAATGGCAATTCTGTTTGCCTGTGTTTTAACTTGACCCATTATTAATGTTTTGCCTCAGGTTGCAGCTCATGAGAAGAAAGCACATGACAGCTGGGTAAGTCCTTGTCATTTACAACACAGATCACATTGATGCTGAAATTTGAATTATCTTGATTTATTTAATACCGGAGTCTTATATAGCGCACGTATCTACCAACAATTAGGTACTCAAGGCGCTGGAAATTATGTCTGTTATTAAAGACAGGTAAATGAAGTACATGAGAAATATGAGACCCATTATGTAGCACCTTATAAGGGTTTACAAGGTGCTGCGGCGCATATTGCAGCCACTGCCAGAAACACCGGGGCAAACCCCATCTCTTTAATAGCGATAAGTGTTACTGGGTTCTTTAACGTGCATTACGCAACACACAGCAATAATGGTAAAGTGCCTTGCTCTAGAGCACAAGCACCATGTTCCCACGGTCAGGATTCGAACCCATGTACCTCGGCACACGAGTCAAACACCGTAACCATTGGACCATAGCAGCCAAATTATTTACAGTATAATGTTGCAATTTCTCTTAGCTTTTTCTTCAAAAGCGTACTAATGAAACTCACAGTATCTGAGATTTCGTTTCTGCTTCAGAAAAATTGAGAAATTCTCATGAAGGGACCAAACTTTTGGAGGGAGTTTTTTTGAGTTGGAGAAATAGGGTTTCTAATCCTTACCCTAACCCTACAAATTGACCATGATTCGGAAGTCAATATTTGTTTGTTTGATTGTTGACAGATTTCTGCCCGGTCTGCGGAGAGGGAACTTCAGGAGGCAAAGAGAGAAGCCGCCAATCTGAGACACAGGTTTGTCTCCAAATGTTGACAGTCCATTTTTCTCTGACACACTTTTATTTTTGATGATTAACACTATATACCACTGCTGCATAGTATGACACCTAGCCCTACAATTTGGAAACTCTTCAGTTTAATCCATTCTTTACTGGGCACTGAGCCCCCGAAAACTGTAGAAAATGTGTTTAAGGAAGAAAAAGACTGGTTATTAAAAAAAACTGTCCAGTTTCATTAAGTGTGTTTCAGGTATTCAGTCTCTTTGCCATCCTAGAAATTTGTGTAAAAAAGCGACTTTCGAAAAAAATGTGATGATGTGGGAAAATTAAAAAAATAATCCCATTTTCTTAGAGTAGACATTTGTTAGATATAAAGTAAAATAAGTAAGATATTCTTGATTTTTCTTGATTTAGATTGACGGAGCTTGAGGGTCGACGAGCTAAAACTGAAACAGCTCCCTTATACAAACCATCCCCATCTGGACGTAAGTCTGACTCCATCTCCCACCTCTCAATGACCTGACCTCCGAAACATTCTCTTCTTTAACGGCAACATTCACAAATGCAGTGCTAACATTTTCATTATAAGCCAGCTGGTTCTATTTTGGTTTTACTCATTTTTCTGCTTATTGTTTTTTCTTCATTTGAAAACACATTTGAGTAAAACATTGACATATAACATGTTCTTTTTCAGTTTGGCATTTAAAAAAACATTGATGACTTTTCTCTTTGAAATGACTTTCAGAGGTTGAAATTACTTACAAACCATCAAACCTCCATAAACCAAACCTCCAAAAACCCAGTCGATTTTGAGCTGAAAATAATTGACTGTGCACATGCATTTTTGTTTGCAAAAATATAGAAAATGGTCGTTGAATGTCTAATGTCCAACTGTAATGTTACCTTTTGTTTACAATTTCCTTTTTTTTTTCAATGGGTGTTTATTTTCCACTAATTGTCTTTATGTGACAGGTGAGGGGAGCCCACAGCCCTTAAAGCAAGGCACCGGTATGTGACAGGCATTTAATCCTCACACTAATAACAAGCAATATTCTCACAATCTGTTAAACTCTACCTCTTTCTCTAAGCCCAGACTCAACCTGAACACTCGGTACGGTTGTTGCCACAAGGTTTACCTAATGTCAAAAAATGTACCCATATTAGTAAGCATCATGCAGCAGCCTATTATTTATTTGTTTTTTTTTTAAGAACCCATTAATTGCTGAACTCCTAACTCATTGTGCAGATTTCTTTTTATTCCACTCCATCATCCAACATTGAGCTTTGACAGTTGCTGTTTATATTGACACGAATTGTTCATCTTTCACAGCAAACAAAGATTTTCATCTTTACCTACTTTTACTCTGAAGCCTAGCAACTCTGCAGGCTTAATTCCAGACATCTTTCTGCTCCTAGAAGAAATTACCCATCTCATGGTACCGCTAAGCACAGGGTTTTCTGCTCCTTGAACTTGTGCAAGTTTTACAGAGTCTGTAACCAGTCAGCTCAGCCGAAAGAGCCCGATAAAATTTAGAGGCAGAATTTGTTCAAATTAATAAACAACAGAAATCTTCATGCTGATAGTAACAGCACATCCAGGCCATGATATATTCATACAGTAAGCACATTATGTCTGCTGTAACCTTGCCCCTAACCATCATTTATCTCAGACATTTATCGTAACATTTGATTTAATCTTTAATTCTTTAGGTGCACCTAGCAGGAATAGTCTTCTAGCAGACACCCCTTCACCACCCCACCTTGACCCCGGCAGGCCCCTATCCCCACGTCGACCCAGCTACCCTGCTGACCACCCCTCCTCACCCCCATTGGACGGCAACATGGACCCCTACCGACGCACCTCCAGATCTGGCAGGGATTCTGGACCACACCCACCATTCCCTGATGATAGACCGCCGCCACCACCCGACATGCGTAGAGACATGGACTTCCCACCGATGGGTAGAGCGCCCCCACATGGTCGTCACTCCCGCGGTCCCCCAATGCCAGATATGGACTACGACCCTCACGATATGAGAGACATGAGTCCTGGCCCGCCTCCAGATTTCCGATTTGACCCCCATGGGCCACCACCACCAGATATGGATTTTGATCCTCATGGCCCGCCCCCTTTTGGTGGACCCCCACCCCCTCTACGACACCCCTTTGCTCCGAGAGACTTCCCCCCTCATCCAGATGACTTCGACCGTCGAGGACCTCCAATGGATGACCGTGATTTTGGCCCCCCACCCATGGATGACCGTGATTTCAGGGGGTACGGACCCCCACCCCCTGGAATGGACTTTGGTCCCCGTGGCCCACCGCCACCTGGACCTATGCATGGTCCGGGGCCCTATCCAAATGACATGGGGCCACCGCCCATGGATAGACCCCCTCCACCTATGGGTCCACATGGACCTTCACCAGGCCCAAGAAATCCAGGTAAACTTTTCTTTTCTTTCATGTTCAGCACTTAAATTTAGGACTTTTGTCATTGTATTTTCAGAATTTGTTTTTGGTTACATCATTCTGTTGTTTCCCTTCCAAAAGATTCTATTTATTAAACACTTTCTAATTAAATATGAATTAAACATTCATGATGTTAATTGATTAACTAAAGCATATACAAGAAAACAAATTCTGCATGATCAATAAGCTCATTTTAAAGGAGCATATGTGAACCATTTTGCTTCCTCTTCGGAAAGGTTACCCATTAAATTTTCTAGCATCTTAAAATATCCATATTTCCATAAAATTGTCAGTAAGGTCACTATTTCTCTTGTAAGAAAGACGTTCAGTTTAGTATTAAAGAAATGACTCTAGATTTGAGATTTCAGTATGTAGTCCTCTAAGCAATTTTCGAATGAAGAAAAACAATGTAGTTACTCAACAAATTCTTCTGCTTGCTGCCTGTTTTCTCAGTTCCCAGTTTGTGATTCTTTTCTCACTCAGGTATAAGACCAGGCAGTCGTGGTCCCTTCCCCCCTCCTGCTGGAGCCCCGCCCCCAGGAGGGTTCCCACCGAGTGGTCCGTCGTTTGGTACTCCATCAGGATCACACAGAACATCAACGCCATTAGAGGTCAGTTGTAACCAATAACTATTATCATTCTTTGTTTATTCTTCATTTCAAACTCTGACTTACTGACTGATTCACCGACTGACTTACCAACGGACTGTAACTTGTGAGCTGAGCAGTGCTATCATATAGGAGAACCTCATAATGCCAATGAATGGGCTAAATCCGGCCCATTATGTAAATTAGTCAATTGAAATGATTTTTTTGTGTGTCATCATGTATTAATGTGTTGATAAAATTGTGATCCTCATGTGATAATCAAGTAATCCCCATACGTGATTTTTGTCATCCTTGTGATCCTTATCATGTGACTATCATGTGATGATCATGTGACTACTGTGCGACGATCATGTGATCACCACAGGCTTGTGATCATTACCAGTGCATTTCAAACCATTTTTTGTTGTCAATTTTATTTTGGTCAACAGGGGACGCCAGTCACACCACAGACTAGGCCCAGCTCCAGACCAATGCAAGGACCATGAAAGCATTAGGTACTTCAATAAACTGATTTTATGCACACACACAAGAATAACAATACAAAATCTGACGTGGAAAACTACAGAAAATGTGAACTCAATTTTGCATTAGCTTGTGTAAATAACTGTAGCGACCAAGTCTTATGCATTTCTCAAGAAAAGAGAAAGATGTATCTTCTTTTGGATTTCTCGTCAAAAGATGGGTTTTTACGAACACTGTTTCTACTTAAAGCTGTCGATTGGTGTAGATAAAATGTAATTTGTAGAACTTCCGACACTTCCCTCTAACTTCTTGCAGCTTTATTCCATTCCCATTATAAAGTGATCATATCAAACATTTTACCCCCTTTTTTCAAGTAACAAGATACAAAACTAGGATTTATTAAAAAAACTGTGAATAAATAAAATTGCTACAAGTAAATGACTGAGATTTTTGATTTACCTTAAATTGTAATTATTTTAGTTGCCCCTTCCCCAACCCTGAAATAGCAGCTACGTGTAGATTATGTATTCAAAGTAAAGCATTTTGTTTTAAAAAATTTATCATGATTATTATTTTGTCTGTTTATTACTTTTACAGGTTTGTTTTCCGTGCACGCATTTAAAAATACACCTTTTATTCAATCTGATTGATAGCTTTGAAAGTAAGATAAATATTGCCAACTCGTATAATCGAATGTATGATTCTGATTTTATTTTTGGAGGCCCTTTTTCCATTCTGCTCAAGCTTTGCACAAAATTAAAATTCTGTTATTAAATTTAAAAGTTTGCAAAAGCTCTGATATCCGGGATTCAGTATCTGATATTCTAGTTGTGAGAATGAAAAGGTTAAGTCAACTGAGATGGTCCCATTAATGATTATAATCCCGGTGGTCAGGGGTAACACATAGTGATGTTATGTGTTGCATTCTGATAGTAAAATGGTAACATTTATGTCAAAAGAAAATAATGAAGCAGTGCAGGCTTTTCTGTTTTAAAAGACAAAAATCTGAACTCGCCCTTAAGTATGTTTGCTCCGAGTAATATTCTGTAAACAGAAATGATCACCAGATTGTAGCTTTGAATAAGTAGCATTTTGGAGCAGGGCTCAGATTAGTGCAATAAATATCAATGATTACATTGTAATACAGAGAAGACTATTGCCAAGAACATGGTGGACAATTTGTCATGGTGCTACTGTTAATGTTAATTTCATGTCGGAGTTCAAGGGTTTGGTGATATATCTATCAATTTTTGTTGTTGTAATCCTCTCTGTGAAAGAAGGAAAAGTTTCCCTGTATTCTACCCTGCTTGGTGGGAACAATATTTTGCGGCTTTTTATATACTGGTAGTCGTGTTCCTTAAAGGGAATATACAACATTTGCAAACATCGAAAAATAAAACTACCAAGTTTTTGCGAAATACCTTAATAGGATGTTGGTAAATGACAGTCTAAAGCATCCTGTAAAATTATGGCACCTGGTATACTGTCATTTTCAAGAAAAGTGGTATTTTTGTATCAATTTCCAACGCTGATCGGCCGATCAGCGTTGGAAATAACTGGCTTTTTTTCAAATACTGGCCCCAATTGACCATCGCACTTGTTTGCAATCGATTACAAACCTATGAACGGGTACAAGCCAGCTAGACTGGTTCCCTGACCTTACAATTCCCCAATGTATGTAAACTGCTCTGTTTCTTCTTATATGGAGTCAGGGAACCAGACTACAGGAAAATGATCGTTTTTCTTGGTTTTTATAGCATTTTCGAACCCCAAACCTCCAAAAAGTCAGTGTAACTATATTTGCTTTATATTTCCAACCCCCCAATCCCATCCATTTCTGAAAATTACAGCAAAAGCAAATGATGTATATTCCCTTTAACGTGGCTCACTTCGAAGCTTACCCGACTTTCCTCGTGTTGTGTTGCCAAACCTCTTTGTTGACAAACCTCAAATTCATGCAGTGAAATACTGGTACTTTTACCTTATCAATGCTTGCTTTAGCAAACCTTGATAAACCTCTGTGAACAATTTCGGTTTCATAAAATTTAATCCGAAATTCAAAAACGGTGGCGTCCGGAAATTGGGCACAAATTCGCGGAGTTTTCCCTAACGTGGCGGCGTGGCGCACTTAAATAAATCTCGGAAAATTCCAAATTAACATTTAAGAATTTCTTAAAATTAATGTGGCCTGACGTTGCGAACTTAGCAAGTTCTTCAGAGGCTAAAACAGAATTTAAGAATTTCTGTTAACTTGATAAATTCGGATAAATCATTATTATCTCTACTTACGTACCCAGCCAGATGTTTGTCAGAAAATTATTTTCTTATTTTTCGGGGCATTTTCAAAGGGTTCACTTTGCACTTATCGGAAAATCACGCCAAAATAAATTTTTCTTCTAACTTTGTAAGGGGGTAAATAAACTCGCGATTTATGAACGGGAGTGTTTAGAACTTAATGAAATTTTACTTTCTGTGAAATTTCAGTTAAAACTTTTGCTCTAGCTAGGTGCTACCGGCGAAAAATCAAAGTGCGCCACGTTGGGGGCCGCGCCACGTTAGGGTACATCAACAATATATGAACCTTACTTAATGGAAACTGCCTGAATCCTCCGAAGTCCCACAAAATCAAACCCAAAGAGTTCCGGAGAAGTTGCGGGTAGAATCATTTGCTCTGTCCGGAAGACAGCAACTGCTTGACTCACCAATACTGGTAACTTCATTGCAGGAAGATTGCGGGGAAGTTGTTCAGAATCCTGCAACTTATACCCGATGCATGTCTGCAACTTGTCCGGAACTCGTCCTGGATATGGTTGAGACGAGCCCCAAGTGCCTGGCTGTACGGTCTTGAATCCATGAAAATAAAAAAACATCTTGTTGGATTTTTACAGATTTAGGGTAGTTAGGGGTGAACAGAAATTATGTCGGAACATGTTCACGTGAGGGAAGGCGTGATTGCAATTTCAGGGTTCTTATTCGGAACCTTTTGCAACAGTTCGAAATTTAATTGGCAATAATCTGTAAGGAGGGTGAAATGTTTTTGGGGGTCGACACCCAGACCACCTAAACAATGTCTATTTTGATCAAACTTTGAATGAAGCCAAGTTTTGCGCTTAATATTTCAAAAAAAAAACACCAGTAAGTAGTAAAATTTGGCTATCTAACAATTTAGATTTTTTAGTTTGTTCAACTGAAAAAGAACCCAGATAATTTAAGTGAAAAGAGACTGTTGTGCGTGCAGTAATAGTATAAAAAGAGATGAGCCCATCTGAAGTGCTTATTGAGATTATTTGCACCAGGAGTTCCTGTCAAAGATTATGCATTTTTGCTAATTTTGCTACAAATGTCAAGTATAACTGCAAACCGTCAACAGAGGGCCCTTTTTAAATTAAAACTTAAAACACTTGCCGTTTCCTGATTAAAAAAAAATCAATTAAAAAAACACCTGTCACCTGAATACCATCAACTTGTCAAGGTCTTCACTTCTTCTTGTCGATGTCTTATAAGAAGAACTCCTTATTAAATGATGAGACAACACTTGATGCAGTCATGTTGCCTAGCAACACCCCATCACGCAGCGTCATCTATTGACAATACGATATGAGCATCCCGCCATATTTTGTAATCTTAAATGATGTGTCCAGGAATAAAATACCTGTCTTGTCTGTCGACGCTGAACAAACATGCACTCTCTTCAACGCAATGGGAAACAATAAGACCAGCATAAAGTCAATCGATTTTGAGTGCTGGTGCTTCACGTTGCTGGGGGAGATTGTTATAAGATACGAATTCAGAAGTTGATTGAGCTGAGAGCAGCACATTTGGCATCTCCGTGGTAACCATGGATTTTTAAATGACGTTGCATACTTAGTACGGCATATGGTGTTTTATGTAATATTTTGATTGTTATTAGAACATTGTGTATGTCGAGGAAAGATGGTTCTTTTGGGAAAATCGATTCTTGGCCTACAAGTATCAGACAAGCCTTCAGGAAGTAATGAATGTTGAGACAAAATTAGGAAAAGTGGGATGGTGCTGTAGTGAAATACGTTCTCGCTACGGGTTGGGGTTAAGTGGGGTTTAGAGCCCTCCCCAACCCCCCACGCAGATCCGCCAGCCAAACACAATCAACAATAACTTATTCATTTCAATCCAAGGCCAGGGGTTCGATTCCCGCTCCATTTGTTTTATCCAACCGAATAAGGAAACGAATGAAACAATACTTAGTAGATAAAGAAGAAATAAATGTTACAACCGACTTTTGTCCCAACAGTGAGTGAGTCAATTATTCAGTCAAAATAATTCGAATAGGCCTATCGGGTTTAGTTTTTAAACGCCAAGCCCTGTTTCTCTTTTGACTACACTGTATGCATTGGCCAGGTATAGGCCTACACTTATTGTCAAGTTCACATTTTGCAAACCTTCACCGACACCACACGTGCCATCACTTGTCACGGTTACACCTCTATATTCCGACACCCCTATGTTCTGACTGCACATATTCTTATCCCTATCTATAACCCTAACCCTAAACCTTACCCTAACTCTCACCGGGAGTTACACAATCTTATCTTCAGGTTGTCGGAACATGGGGTGTCGATGTCGTAGTCACCATTTGTCACACAACCAGCATGGCAGAGGTACGAACCAGATAGCGATAAAGAACGAGTTGATACACCGTGCTCTTCACAAAATGGATTTTGTTTCTCTTCAGGAAATTTCAGTTTGTATGTTTTAACGATTTTGGCATCTGCAACCCTCTCTGAAAAGGGAATTTCATTCTGCGCACAAAACAATGAACCCGCCTGCGAGCCGATTTATTGTCTGGCAGCTAGCAATTCGAATTTTGTGAAGAAATAATTCAATAATTAAACGTCGGTGGATTTTTTTCTTTCGATTGTCTCATTCAAAACTGAATAACCTTTGGAAGGAAAATAGCAATTGAAAAAAAACCCTATTTTTTTCAAGCTGTAACTTGAAAATAGGAATGACATAGGGCCTATGATGTAGCTGACAGGGAGATTGGATGCTACAACAGTAATGTATGAGAGCCGTACTTTGTCAGGGAAGGAAATTGTTCGTAGGCAGCGCCATGCACAACTCAAAGACCAAGTGCATGCACAAAACGCTGAGCAAATAACTACTGTGGCCAAATTGTGGCATGATCGAAAGCGAAACAGATAGAAATGGGCTTCAGTGGTGGGTGGGGTTTCGCCGGCAGAATGGAGGGGGCCTACAGATTATTAGCAACACGGCAAACATGTCTTCTTTGTTCCATTTTCTTATGCTCCATTCACATAGACCGAAGGTTGAAAGTTTCCACTGATTATGTGAGTTATTTTTTAAGGACATTTTTATTTTTAATAAACATACATTTATTCCCCATTCAGGCAAACGGGGCAGTGTGTGAGTAAATGACAACGTTGCTGCTAAAAGTATGTAGCACGTTCCAGACTATCATTATTTTGTTTAATGCTTGCCTTATCGCTGCTGGCTTAAAAACCATGGCAACGGCAATTTACCTGTTTTGCGTCATTTGATGATACCTATGGACAACTCGCCTGCATTTGCCAGGAGCTGGAGCTATAAAAGCTTGTCATTCGTCTTATATTATTGGCCTATCAATCATCGATGGGACGGTTTAACTGCAACCACTTTGTCCGTGAAAGCCGCGGACACAGGTGCTTAGGGGTCTTAATAATGGAATATCTTTTATGTAGAAAATAATCGGCGATGTACAATTTAGTTATGTCATGTATATCGCATTATCGCCGCGGGTCATTAGCTGACAACTATCTCTATGTGTTCTGTAACTCGACAACAGAAGAATTCAAGAAATTATTAAAATTTCAAAACGTTGATGGACGAGATGCATGCATTAGCTCCCAAAGCAAGTAAGCCAATGTGAAGGGAAGGTGGAATGCCAAGGAAAAGGCCCCGGTAGTGAATTGACTCGCGTTCATGAGGCGTGACTTTCGATAGAGATGTAACTGCCGTGCGAGAAAGCGGCACAGCGTGACGGCCGGCTGTACCCTTGTATATTTATGTTTTCAACAAAATCTTTGATGCACAAGGTGTCTTTTAGCCGTAGGAAGTGACGCGAGACGTAGACACCGAGTTAATGATGCGTGAATTTGCCTTGACGCGCAGATCCGCCAA